CTCAATATGTACGGAACAACACACACTATGTATGGATCAATATGCACTAAGTACGGAACAACACACACTATGTATGGATCAATATGCACTATGTATGGATCAATATGCACTAAGTACGGAACAACACACACTATGTATGGATAAATACACACTATGTACGGAACAACACACACTATGTATGGAACAACACTCAATATGTACGGAACAACACACACTATGTATGGATCAATACACACTGTGTATGGAACAACACACACTATGTATGGAACAATGCACTCTATGTATGGATCAATATGCACTAAGTACGGAACAACACACACTATGTATGGATAAATACACACTATGTACGGAACAACACACACTATGTATGGAACAACACTCAATATGTACGGAACAACACACACTATGTATGGATAAATACACACTATGTATGGATCAATACGCACTAAATACGGAAAAACACACACTATGTACAGAACAACACTCAATATGGTACAGAACAACACACACTATGTATGGAACAACACTCACTATGTATGAAAAAACACCCACCATGTATGGATCAGTACACACGATGTATGGATCAACACACACTGTGTATGGATAAATACACACTGTGTGGATCAATACACACTGTGTGGATCAATACACACTGTATGGAACAACACACACTATGTATGGAACAACACACAGTATGTATGGAACAACACACACTATGTATGGATCAATACACACTATGTATGGATCAATACACACTATGTATGGAACAATACACACTATGTATGGATCAATACACACTATGTATGGAAAAACACTCACCATGTATGGATCAGAACACATGATGTATGGATCAACACATACTGTGTATGGAACAATACACACTGTGTATGGATGAATACACACTGTATGGATGAATACACACTATGTATGCATAAATACACACTGTGTATGGAACAACACATACTATGTATGGAACAACACATACTATGTATGGAACAACACATACTATGTATGGAACAACACACACTTTGTATGGAACAACACACACTGTATGGAACAACACACTATACAGCGGGTAA